TATATATATATATATATATATATATATATATATATACGTATGCACAACAAATGAGCATACAAAGAGACCAGAATGAAGGAATACAACGTCAAACGCTTCTATACGTGCTCTATTACAACATACAGACAAATAATTCCTTGCAAACCAACATCCATCCACTAGGGGGCACTACCTCGCTCTTACTTCTCAGCTGCACTCAGCCGTTTGGACTTAATGAAGGCCATTCCGTGTGTCCGCATGTGTGTGTTCAAGGCTCCCTCCGTTTCAAAAGTTTTTGAACATACTTTACATTGAGTATCTGGGATACCGTCGTTGGCGTCCGGGTTGGGCGTGTTCTCTTGTTGCTCGTTGTGTCGCACGAGTCCTTGGGGCTCCTTCAGCTTGTGCACGATGAACAGGTGTCGGGCGAGGGAGTTGTGCGAGGTGTAGCACAGGCCACATTCGCGGCACTGGTAGGACGAGACGTCGGTCTTGTGCTGGGGAATGTGCTCGTGGAAACGCACAATGTCCTCTGTGGTGAAGCTACACACTGCGCATTTGTGTGTCTTGAAGACATTGATCTTTAGCTTCTTTAGAGGTTGTGAGGATGAGCTCTTGGACCGCTGAGCGGAAGTCACCTCTCCTCCGGCCTCCTCCACTTCCTCTTCCCTCTCAGCATCCTCGTCTTCAGAGCGGAGCTTTCGTTTAGGACTGGGGACCTGAAGATAGAAAATGACAACATTTTATGCAATGCTGCAATAAAACTTTTATTAGACTTTTAATAAATACACTGAATTTAGCCGATAAATATTTTCATGTTAGGGCAGATAACTGATAATGACAGATATTATATTACATTATAATTTAATATAAAATAATTGATATTCAATATTTTGTTAACCAGTCATTAACACAGAACACAACATCCATTTTTTATACTGTGCATTATAAATTACATTTACCATTGTTCCAAAATTAGAGTTTTCAAATATTAACTTTAAATAAAAGTAAAGGTATTTTAAATTCAAAATGTGAGAAATTAGCATGTGATTAAATATTCAATTTTGACCTATAACGATAAATAAAAATAATATGTATATATTGTGCATCTCTCATGAAAAAAAGACTGCATCTTCATAAGGTCATATATATATATATATACAATACAGTTCAAAAGTTTAGGGTCAGAATTATTTTTTTTAATCAATACTTTTATTCAGCAGGTATAAATTACATTAATCAAAAGTGACAGTAAAGATATTCATAATGTTACACTTAATTTATATTTCAAATTAATGCAGATTTTTTACTTTCTGTTCATCAAAGAATCCTGAAAAAAAACAGCAGCACAACTGTTTTCAATATTGGTAATATTATGAAATGTTTGAATAATTTCTGAAGGAACATGTGACACAGAAGACTGGAGGAATGATGCTGAAAATACAGCTTAAAATCACAGGAATTAATTTCATTTTAAAATACACCAAATTAGAAAACAGTTTGTAATATTTTTTTACTGTATCAAATAAATGCAACCTTGTTGAGCATAAGATTATTCTCTCAAAAACATTAAAAAAAAAATCTTACAGACTCCAAACTTTTGAATGGTCGTGTACATCTGTCTAACATCCTTGCAATAGTCCCAGTCAATACAGATCCAAATGTGCAAGTCTGTTCACTGGTTACCTGCTCTTTGTC